CGGGAGAGCCAAGTGCGTCGCGCGCAGCAGCGTCAGGAGGAGGCGGCCGCCGGGGCCAGCCGGAGTTTCGATAGGGCGGATTCAGTATGGTACAGGCAATACCTTAAGGGAGAGAAATGGATCCCAGGGCAGGTGGTAGAAGTTCTGGGTAGAAGTAATTTTAAGGTTAGGGGGTCCGATGGCGGGGTGGTGCACAGGCACATTGATCAGTTGCGTAGGAGACCGAGCGAGGGCAGGCAATCGCTTGCGTGTTCCACGCCCGGGCTAAACGAGCAGCCAGTCAGTACGGACTCTCGAGACTCAGATCCCGAGGGTTTGGGATCGGAGGATGATGAGTCGGAGGCGCCGACGGGAGCGAGGGCGTTGCGCGCAGCCGAGCCGCCGGCGTCGCAGCCGCAACCCGTTCCGGCTTCACCGGACGGGGGAGGACATCTGTCCCCGGCTGCCGCACAAAGAACTCGCCCTATTAGGCAGTGCAGATTGAATAGACCTAAGTAGTTGTTAAGGATTGTGTTGTACTGTTTACCTTAAGATATTTTGTATAACAGTGTTTTGAGAGTATGAGATAATTATCCATTATTTGTCACTGGTTAATTTTAAGTATAAAAATTGATTATTGTTAGAGTAAGATAATTTTAAGATGGTTTTCCATTTAGTGTGGAGGAATGTAGTGTAGGTAACCGTAAATTACCTATCCGTGTTATACCTTACTTTTGTATGCATAATTTGTGTGAGTCGGATTAAACATCTTGAGCTTCACGCACGACTTTTATTTCGGACACCACATTACTATTAACAAAACAAGATATGACTTAAACGAAAATTTCCAGAAGGCGTAAGAGGACGCAGTACTCAATAATGAATGCAACGAGAGATTAGAAGATACAAGTTATATGTGCTAATATTATTTTTAAGTTAATAAACCTCTAACCTAAAGAATTATCAATTTAATAATAGATTTCAATAATTTTCTGTTTATTATTTTACGTGTGTCCTAGCTGTTCTTGACTTAGCATGATAAAATAAGTTTCTCTCACACAAGTCCTAGTAAAAGTCCCTTAAAAATACAGAAAAATACGTGCAGACAGACAGTTTTAAAAATCACATTTTTAATATAAGTAATGAATACATACGCACTAAATCTGTATATTTATTAATTGTATACAATAATAAATATGCTGGCTTTAAACTCCGTATGCATAGAATTTAAAAAAAAAAAACAAAAGTAAGTAGCTTATGTGATCTTCCAGACTCTCCTCTATATCTATGCCAGATTTTATCGAGATCTTTTTAGCAATTTAGAGTACAAACTCTAACAAACATCCATCCAAACATACGCATTTATAATGTTAGTAAGATCTCATTTAGGGTGAGTTTTCACTGCTAAAACAATGCGTACAAGACTATTTTACTATCTTTTTTTTTTTTCAAGGAATACTTGATAAAAAATATGTACATTTGAAATATACATCTGTTAAAACAACTTTACGTAAGCGCTTTTGAATATAAAAATGCAAATATCCATAATGAACATCGGTTGAAGTTTCCTACATTTCACTCTCGTGTAATACTCGTAGTTTCAAACTGTACAATGCAAAATATTCGTGTGGTATTCAGTAGAGAATTGCTTTATTTAAATTTCTCTTTGCAAAATTCTCTAGAGTTCGTCCAGTTCGTGTAATGAGAAGTATTTGTAACTTGCAGTTATGGTATACAGTGTTTTTTTTATAATATAGGTTGGCAAACGACCAAGCGGCCGCCTGTATCCGCCAGAACAGCGAAGAGACCACTGCCTATAGATATCCACGCACAGATGCGTGGCTTACCCTTAATTCACGGAAAGAGAAACGCATATAAAGAGGATATTTCCCCTTACCATGCGTCTCTTCCACCGTCAAATCCACTTTCCCTTCCTATCCTTTTGTTATTATAAAAGAGTGGTAAGAGAAAGAGACTGTTATTAAGCCTCCGGCACTACACTCATCAGACGAAACATAAAATCGTGGTGTTGCACCAGGCGAGGCGGCCAATGCGTGCGAAGATGTTAAAGCAGGCTCTACCACTGTAAAAGTTTTAGCCAATATTGTGAAGGTAGTTTAAAAAAATTATATGAAACGCCAATAGCCTATGATTTGGGGTATGGACTACCGATCTTGCGGTTGGGTTCGATTCCCGCAATTCGACTATAGTCACATCTTAACACAAGCCTACCTTAGTTGGAATGGTTAAATAAATACTATAATAGTAAATTAACAAAAGCTACTAATATTAAAAGCTTTTGCCTAATCTTGGTTGTTTAAAAGTTGACATTTAAAGTCTGATGGCATGTAAATGCTCGGGGATTCCTTTTATCTCCGAATAGACTTGCCACTTAACTACCACTTACGTAAACAACTCATTAATTGGATCCAGTCTAATTGTGACTGACCGATAAAGTTAATTGTGTTGGCAACCGATACGGGAATCCTTTGAGAGTAACATACGCCTCGTGTCGTACGTCACTCCATTACACATTGAA